GTGCACCCTGCACCAAGTGAGCAAGTGCTCCAAGAGCTGCTGGTCCCGCGATTCAAGTCTGTGCTTTGCTCACACCACCACTGTTCCCAGCTGAAACTCACGGAGAGAGCCAGGTATTTCCCATCTACTTCCTGAGGGCAGAGTAGGCAACCCAGGACCCCACCACCATTACAGACTGAGTCTCTCCCCTCTCTGCACACGCAGCAGAGAGGAGGTCCTCACTCAGCAGCCCCAGGGACTTCTCTAGCTGGGGGTGGGGTGCATGTAGCCCTTCCCTGTGCCCGCATGTCCTGCACCAAGTGAGCGAGTGCTCCAAGAGCTGCTGGTCCTGTGGTTCAAGTCCATGCTTTACTTTTGCCTGGACTACCTAGCAGGTCGAAGGCATGGGCAGTCTGTGACTGCTACCCATCCAGCCTGCATCTGGTTCCTCTATGTGTCCTGAACTGACTGGAACACAGAATCAGGTGGTTCACAAGCTGTCAACCCTGTAGTTTGTGTCTGCACCCTGAACTGCCTAGGGACATAGGTCCACTGGACCAGGATTGTCACAACAGTGAAACTGGAGTCTGGGCCGGGCACATGCCCTGAACTGCAAGGGGACGCTGGATCAGACGGTCAGCCATCAGCTGACACCAATGCCTGTGCCTGAGACCAGGGATAACTAGATACAAATCAGCAACTGCCGGAAAACCTGAGACTAAGCAGCACTTCTCAGAGGTCACTCAGGGCCAAACCTGACCAACAGGAAGAGTAGGGACACTAGTGGCCTTTGCTGCACAGCTACTGAAGAGAGAAACTGAGCTTTCTGCATCCAGTAGCAAACACGTCAAAACGAAGGACTAAAACACAATCCCAGAACTCCACCCCACTCAGAACAAGGCCAGGAGACATCGACATAGGAGAACTTGGTAATCACATGCCTGAAATAGCTGCAATGATTGCAATGGAAGTAAAGAAACAGCTCCATAAGGCCATAGAAGAGATGAGATCAGAAATAATGTCTCAGGCAGAAAATGAAATGACAATAATGATGAAGGAACTGCTCAAAAATTTTGAAGAAGA